TGCTGGCCTCTGATGGGGCTCCAGCCCAGGCTCCAGCCCAGGAACCCACAGGACCCCAGATCTCCATGGGGTGAGCGGTGGTGGCAGCCTTGGGGCCCTCCCCGAGCCCTCTCAGGAACAAGGGCCCGGCTGAGCACACCAGGAGCAACCAACCAACACTGCCAAAAACACCAGAAACACAAGGGCACTGTCCAGTTCTGGGGTTTGGGGTTTTGGGGGTGGTTTGTTGGGGAATTTTTGGGTTTTTTAGCCGGTGTAGCACTGCAACAAAAAGTTAAGGATTCTTAAGAAAAGGGTGATGGGGAAGCCCAGATTGGTGGGGATATTTTGAGGATGCTTCATTTCCTCCTTGACTCACCTGCAAGCATGAACCCCCTCTGTTCATGCAGCTCCCACTGCACCCTGTGGCAGGAGAGTCTGTGACCAGTGTCCCTGTGCTTGGGCGTCCTTGGAGGGTTTGATCTCTGCACCCAGAGCTGGCTCCTAACGGGGTTGTGAACCCACCATGGCGAGGCTGAGCTTTGTCCTTGACTGTCAACCACCAAACCCCATCCTTCCTTCAAGGGAAGGCTTGAGGAGATGTCCCAGAGCCTTCCCTTGTGGTGGTTTGTCTTGTTTTTGGTGTGGATAAGCTTACTGCAGCTCCAGCTTCTCCTGCCAGCAACGTCAGTAGTGCAGCTTTCACTGCCTCGTTTTGTGCCTCACCAGGCATTTCCCATCCCAACATCTATTTTAGGAACCTAAACAAAAACATACAGCCCAATCAATCATGAGCCCATATTTAGGTGTTGGTGCTTAAAAGCCATTTACTTCTGGTTCCAAGAGCATCCTATAAAAATACACAAGGGAAGGTTGGCAATCTTTGGCTGGCATTGATTCTTAGAACACAAATTTCTCTCCTGCCTTACAGGAGAGTGTCCCTGGCAGAGCTGATGCCTGAGCCGCGCTGGAGGAAGCGCAGTGTCATAGGTGGCAGTGTGGATGGGCAGGATGGCCCAGGTTTGCTCCACTGGGCTGGCACAGGCTCCTCCAGCAGCCCTGAGGGAGGCAAAGCCCCTGAGGCCAACACTCAGCCCAGTGCTGCCCTAACAGCAACATGCCAGTGCTGTGGGCAGGAGAGCACCAACGCCGCTCTGGCTCACAGCAGGGCAGCCTGCTGAGGGATGGGGTGTGGGCACGGCCCCTCCAAACCAAAGCCACAGCCATCCCCCTGGGCCGTCTCTTCAGCAAGGTTGTCTCCTGGAAACCCCAGCTGGGCTCCTTCCAGTGGCATTTACAACCCACAAATGGCCATCCCAGGGAACAATCTTGTGGAAGTGACCCTAAAACTGTACACAAAATCAAACCAAAGGTGTTAACAAGCAAAACCCCCAAGTCCAGCTGTCTCAGGAACACTGAAAGGCTGTTAATTATTCCCAAACGTGGGAGGAATAAAAGTGCAGTGGAGCTGCCTCTGGCAGCAGAGGAGCCCAGGCTGTGGTGGGCACTGGGCTGTGCTGGCAGTGCTGCAGGGAGACCTGAGGAATAGCTCCCAAACCCTCTGGGACTGAGCACAGGAGCACAGATGTGCACCCCGGGGGTGTGCAAAGGGCCAGCACAGACCCACCCAAGCACTGCTGCTTCCCTCCTGCACAGCCCAGCCCAGCCCAGCAGGACTGGGGCAGAGCTGGAACCGGGGCTGTCTGCAGCACAGATGTGCAACCAGGGGCTGTGCAAAGGGCCAGCACAGACCCACCCAAGCACTGCTGCTTCCCTCATGCACAGCCCAGCCCAGCAGCTGCCATCCCAGCAGGACTGGGGGCAGAGCTGGACCCGGGGCTGTCTGCAGCAGCCACCCCTGGGCTGCCACTGCTCCCCATGGATGGGACACCGAGGGACAGAACACTGCGCTGCAATCAAAAATAGTTTAATGTTTATATTCATCTGAATGAAGATGGAAAACAGCAATCATCCCCTACACACGCCATCTGAACAGGCTGCACACACTCAGGAAAATAACTCAGAATTATTGAAGATTCAGTACCTTTTATGCAAAAGAAAAGCAGGATACGTGAAGTACCTGCCCAGTGGTTCATTTACTTAAATCAACAGTCAACCCTTGTATTCATGCTTCAGTCAAAAGTTTTAGGGTTTATATTTAACACACAAAACATTTGCATAGAGGTTATTTGTTCCACATAGCCAGCTGAACTATGTTTCTTTTCCAAGCCTATAAAATTTCTAAGCTAATTCTACTTTTAAGAAATCATATGTGAAATCTGATAAAAAATTTCAAGGACAATTAGAACACCCAGCACAAGATTTAACAGATAAGTAGAGCACAGACCATGCAGCAGTGTTATCCTAAGTGTGGGACCTTCACAGCTTCCTTTTTCCAGTGAATATCCAGTGCTGGTTTGATTCACTAATTCCTGCTAGTGCAAGGATTAAAGAAAGGAAGTAGGAGTAAGATATGTGCTTTTAAAAAAAAAACAACAAAAACCCAACACAACAAAAAACCCCAAATAAACAAACACCCCAAAAGAAACAAGCAAGCAAAGCCCAAAACACTTGCACAATTTTTTAGCCATCCCACTGGGTTTCCAAGCACTTCCCTCAAGCCGTGCAGGGCAGGAGCAGCCTGAGATGGGGCAGGTCCCTGCTGCAGCTCCCGGTGCTTCCCTGCACCCCAGCAGCCCTGGCAGCAGCGGGGCCCTGCTGCCACATCCCACAGAGCCAAAGGGGACGGGAAGGAACGGCCCCGAGCACGCCCGGTGTGCCCACAGGCACCGGGCCCTTGGGCACACACCGCGGACTGAAGGTGCGATAGGAGAGAGAAGCAGAGCAGAGAGCAGACACCAGATCCCAGAGGCTGCAGGGCCAGAGGAGGAACCCGGGGCAGTCCCGGCACTCTGGGGTTTGGGGTTCGGATGGTAGCACTGGAGGAACGCTGGGTTGGGATCAGGCTGATTTCCTGCCAGACAGGCTGGGAAACGCTCCAGCCCCAGCACCACGAGGATCACAAGGGGGACGGCGATCACGGCCAAAATGCAGCGCGGCTCCAGTCACAGCTGGGCACGCGAGGGGCTGGCCTTGGCTCACAGGTTCTCCTTCAGCCAGCCCATGCAGGTGTCGAAGAGCCGGTGGCCCACGGCCAGCTCCACCGGCCAGGCCAGGAAGGTCATGGCGCCGTGGAAGGCGTCCTTGGCGTGGTGGTGCGTGACGGGCACGCCGGCGGCGCGCAGCCGGGCCGCGTACATGGCGCCGTCGTCGCGCAGCACGTCGTGCTCGCAGGTCAGCACGAAGGCCGGGGGCAGGCGGCGCAGCCGGGCCTCGGGGGCCAGCAGCGGGCACGCCCGCGGGTCCAGCAGCGCCGGGAAGCGCCGTGCCAGCCCCGCGCCGCCCAGGGCCGGGCCCTCGTAGGTGTGGGCGCCCCGCATGTCGGCGGGCAGCCAGCGGCTCCAGTCGAGCAGCGGCAGCAGCGGCGCGGCCTCGGGCGGCACATGGCGGCCGGCGGCCATGGCGGCGCGCAGGGCCGGGTCCGCGCTCAGGTACTCGCTCCAGAAGCGCACCATCAGCGCCCCCGGCAGCAGCGGCTTGTGCGCGTTGTCCCGGTACGACGGCAGGTCCAGGTCCAGCGCCTGCAGCGCTGGGTAGATCAGAACCTGAGCTTTCAGCTTGGTTTCCACTTCAGGGTCCTCCGACAGCTGCAGGAAAACAGAACCCATTGCAAAGAATCAGTAAAGGTGTCGATTCTCCCACACCGACAGAGCATCTGAGGTGAAGAATGAAAACCCGCATTTTGCAACGTGAGCAAAATAGGATTATCAATAAAACCAGGATAAAGAAATTCTGAATCTATAGGCAGGTTATCTAAAACAGCACGCTGTAATAAAAAATCTCAAACATCAAATATAATTTAATTTTATTTCTTATATTGAAGGATAATGATTTTTGGGAAATACTCTTTCTGAAATGTTGATGAAAATCTCAAACATCAAATATAATTTAATTTTATTTCTTATATTGAAGGATAATGATTTTTGGGAAATACTCTTTCTGAAATGTTGATGCTTTCTGAAGTATTGACAGAAGATTTTCTATAGCTACTGAAAATTTTTATTCTTACATCACTAAACTTTCAGGTTTCTGGGTCTCCTTATCGTTTCACACAATTTATAGCATGCCCATCTGTTTGGTTTTTAACCCTGAGATGTTACAACTCAAGCAATTGCAATTCTGTGCATTTTGGAGATGTAACAAAATGTGACAAATTGAACATTGACATTTCTTATATGTCAACCTTTTCCCCTCTTCACTAATAAATTTTCCATTATCTCCCTCGTTTTCTGCCTTCAGCACCCGCAGCAAATTCACCACCATTCCCAGGGTTTCGTTACAGCCCAAACAGTTTCTCAAGAGAGCAACAACATCGTGCTGACTTTGTTTAATAAAGCTGAAGGAGAAGTGCAAAAGGCACCAGACTGTATGCTCAGACACCGCAAAATTTAGTGAGGGTTTTTTTTGTTTGCTTGTTTTCCCTGCTATTTGCATCTTTATGAGTCACATAGTTAAAATTCCCTTTGCAAACATCATACCTAAACCAGACAACACGAGCTTACGGTTGGAGTGATGTAAGGCCTGACTCTAGAGGGCAGAGAGCCTTTTTAGGTGTCTGGATGGCATAAAGCTGCTGTGATGGCACTGAGTGGCTCAGGCACAGCTGCCTGGTCCCCAGAGCCCTGTGGCAATCCCACAGGCTGTGACACCCTGGCAGGCCATGAGAGCAGCTTTCCTCGGTGGTGGTGAGGCTGCACAAACACGGATTTTGATCTGCAGACCGCTGGTGCTGTACCTGCTGTGCCACGGCTGCAGCCAGGTTGCCCCCGGCGCTGTCCCCGGCCACGCAGACCCGCGCAGGGTCCACCCCGTACTGGGACAGCACCTTGTCCTGCAGGAAGAACTTGGTCACCGAGTACACGTCCTCAAACTGGGCCGGGAAACGGTGCGGAGGGGCCAGCCTGTAGCTGGGGGAGGCAAGAGCAGGGTGTTAGCACCTGCTGTTAATAAAGAGAGGGGCTTGCTCGCATCTCCCTGTTGGGGGATGTCTGTTTCTGTGCCCAGAGAAGTGGGAACTGTCTGTCCCAGCTTTATTACCCACCCATCTCCCTAAAGCCAAAATAGCCACCAACCACAATCCCTGGCAGCCTCTGTTCACAAATGTGTATAAGTCAGCAGGAAAGCATGCAATCAAACACAGAAACATTGAAAAATCATATTAATTGAAACAGATTAATTTACTCCAAACCCTCATCCCATCTGGAAGGAGAATATCTCTTACTTGACTGACACCACGACAGCATTCAGCTCGTTTGAAATCCGCCGAGACATGAGATCGTAGCCGTGCATGCCTGCAGTGGAAGCCCAGTGCGTGTGAGAATGGGCACACACACACACACGTACCCCAGCCTGTTCCCCTTGGCAGCACTTTGAGCTGACTTTCCCAAACCCCCCTGTTTTCAGCTGGTGAGACCCCCCCGTGCCCTGCCCCTCCTGTGCCAGGTCCCACAAAACCAAAGGCAGCTCCTGGCAGGGCAGTGAGGTGTGGGCACGGACCCAGCCGCGATGTGCAGGGCTCACCTGCGTCTCCCAGGCACCAGCCGCCGCCGTGGAAGAAGAGCACGGCCCTCCTGAGCCCTCCAGGCGCCCTCTGGGGCAGGAACAGGCGCACGGGGACCCCGCTGAGCTCTGTGTCCGTCACCGTGACGTTCTCGTCGGACGTGGGAGCCACCAGCTCCACCGTGGAGATCAGCCTCAGCCCCTCCATGTAGTGCACCAGCCCCAGCAGCTCCCCCAGCTCCGACTGCAGCACAAGACAGGGCAAGCTGATTCCAGGGCAGCCTCTTCACTCCCAGATTGAATTCCCTGCAGCCGTTTGATGCTCTGTGCAGGCGTGTGAAGTTGCTGTGGCAGTCACACAAACAGGCCAGAGCAGAGTGCCCCCACCTGAGCCTGGCAGTGCCAGGAGCACTCATGGCACGCACCCACACTGCCACCAGCTGCCCAGCAAGGCCAGAGCCCGGCCAGAGCCAGGGCTGCTGCTCCGTGCCACACTCAGACTTGTGCTTGGTGTTCATGTGGGTCACCTCTGCAGCCCAGTGTCAGCTCAGTGAGCCACCAGCACCAGCATTGTCCCACAGAGAGCCACCCATGGCCCCTGGCCTGCTGCTGGCACCACTGGGGACAGCCCAGGGAGCACTGCAGAGCCACCCAGAGCCACCCACAGCCCCTGCACTGCTGCTGGCACCACTGGGGACAGCCCAGGGAGCACACTGCAGAGCCACCCACAGTCCTGGGGGACAGCCCAGGGAGCACTGCAGAGCCACCCAGGGCCACCCAGAGCCCCTGCACTGCTGCTGGCACACCAGCATGGCATGGGCACAGCCCAGGGAACACTGCAGAGCCACCCACAGCCCCTGCACTGCTGCTGGCACCAGCACCTGGGCTCCTCCACCAGCACCCCGGCAGTGGGACGTGACCCTCTTCCCGCCCCAGCCTCACCACACCACAATTGAAACAAAAAGAAATAAAGCCAAACTCTCACATGTTATCTGAAGGTGAAAACAGATGAAATTCAGAGCAGGTTTGGGTTTTGAAAGGAAGAAAACAGCCAAGCCTGGTGCAGAACCTGTTTGGAGTTTGGCTTCGCAGAGAAGCTTTATTGTCCCCAGGGAGATTGTGGAACCCCCACACTGAGTGGTTATCTGCTGACAGGTGTAACCTCTGGCCTTCCCACTCTGACAGTGGAAGCCATACAGACTGACCCTGCCTGGTGAAGTTTTTTCCTTCAAATTGTATTTAAATCAACTGCTTTATCATCATCTACATATAACCAGGTTTTGAGCAACCTGGTCTAGTGGAAGGCGTCCCTGATCTTGGCGGGAGGGTGGAATGAGATGAAATTTAAGATCTTTGCCAACCCAAAGCAGTCTGGGATTCTGGGATTCCGTGCTATAACCTTCTTTTTCAGGAGCTGTAATAGCACAGAGCTCAGCCCCTGCTGGCAGCCCTTGACAGGGATTGTCAGTGCATTTTTGAGTCACCTCTCTCCAGGCTTGGAGCGGGTGATGCCAGGGGAGCCCTGCCAACCCCAGCGTGCTGGAACTGGGAGGGAGATGAGTGGGCAGGCCCTGGCACACGGCAAAGGGAAGCACAGGTCCTTGCCATCAGCTCCATGAAAACAAACAAACACACATGCCCGCGCCAGAATTGCTGTTTTAGCCACCACATTGACACAGTTTACATAAACATGTCTCAGTTGCTGCTTTTCCCCCAAGGATTAACATCTTGGAAAAACAAATGTCTCAGTCAAAGTGAGTCCTGCTGTGACTCCAATGAGCCTGTGAAAGCCCATGGTGGGAGGAATTCCCTGAGCCCCAGCATTGAGGGTTTCCAGAGCTCTCAGGGCTGTTTTCCACAAGTGGACAATTTACATTGTGGAAAACCACTGGGCTGCTGCCTGCGGTTTCCAGGCCATATCAATAAAAGGAAATGGTGCCCTCATCTGAAAATCCTCATTGTCCCAGTGTGAGATCACTGGGTGTTACAGAGCAACAGAAAGGCAGCCACTTTGGGGTTGGGATCCGGGTGCTTTGGAAAGTACTTTCCTTGTGCTTTGCAAGGCATTTCCCCAGTCCCTACGGCAAGGACAGACCCACACCCTGTGCAGGGGAAGGGATCCTGGCTCTGCCCGGGCAGGGGCAGTGCCCAGGGCTCCAGAGGGGCAGGGATTGGGATGGGGACCCTCGGGGGCAGCCCATGAGCAGGGCCCAGGCTGGGTCTCTGCTTCCACAGAGCTGGGCTGAGGAGGGGGGAGCTCTGGGGGGATGGCACACAATGGCAGCAAAACCATCCTGCTGTGTTTTGTACCTTCTCCAGGCGTTTCAGACCCAGGGCACAGGGCACTTCCTGGAATGCCTGAGGGAATTGGGGCTCAAACTCCACAGCAAGTGGCAGGTTTGCTCTCAGAGGCTGCTCCCCAGCTTGGCAGCACGTGGGCACAGCACACAAACACCAACAGGCCAGGGAGAGCTCCCAACCTCCCTGCTAAAAGAGGGGGCACCGAGGGCCCCTGGGCTCACCCAGCAGGTCTGGGGGCTCCCCAGCAGCCACCACAACAGGGCATGGACATGTGCCATGCCGTGGGGCTCTTGGCACTCCTTTTGGGAGCCCAGAGAGGATTGTACTGCCCAGGAATGCTCGAGGGTGGCACGGTGTCCCCTTTGCTCAAAGCAGCCTCAGGGAGACAGAGAGACTGCACCAGGTCCCCTCTGAAACCCAGCCCTGCCCCAGTGAGCTCGAGTCACTGCCCTCCAACTGCACGGCCATTCAGGGTACACTTGGGACAATTTAGGGCCACCTAACTCTAATTTGCACCAGGGCAGCTCCAGGGGGCTGTGGCTGTGCCCATCCCTTGGGATTATGGTTTCACAGGAGATGAGAGCGCGGTTACAAAAGGCGTGCCCACAGCCCCGCCGTGCCCAGGCAGGCAGGACAGCAGCAGCAGACTCAGCCCCACCTTGCAGGCGATCACAGCACTGCTGCAGCCAGCAGGGCCTCCCTGCAGGGGGACAGGGTGGCCGGGCAGCTCCGGGCGTGCCAGGGCAATGGGCTGCCCGTGCCCGCCTCCAGCAGGGCATTCAGCAGGGCAGGCAGCAAGGCAGCACTGCTGAACACGGCTGCTTGGCAGCACTGCTGAACACGGCTGCTTTCCTTCCCACCGCTCAGCCCCGAAATCAAAACAGGAGTCCCTGACACACAAAAACCTCCTCATCCTGCAGGCTGGAGAGCCCTGGAAGTACCCCCGCCAACAAGGGCTGTGTCACACAGAGATGTTGTTTTGTGCGGTTTTCAGGCCTTTTGGCCAGTGGATTTCCATGAAACCACAGAAATCAACAGAATGTGAGAGCTGCTGCAGCGTTCCCTCCCCGGCCAGCCGGGGGAGCCGGGCACGGGAGCCAGGGATGATTCAGGCAGCAGGGCTTGAGCTGCACAGCCCTGCAAGGCAGGACAAGCCTGTCTGTGCCTGTCCGTCCAGCCACAGCCCATGTCCCATTCGCCACTCTGAACGGCCCTTTCTCACGGCTGCAGGACCAAACCTTCCCTCAATTCTTTCTATCACAGTCACAATTCAGCGTTCCATTCTGCCCTTGTGTCCGTGTGACACGATCCCCGTGTGACACACGCAGCGCACACACACACACACACACACACGCACACCGTGCCGTATCCCCGAGCCCACAGAACCCCCCTGCCCGGCCCCAGAGCTCACCAGGTGCCCCAGGGCCCTGA